TCCTGGCGGCGCCCCCTCCCAAGGGGCGCCCTAGGCGGCTGCCTAGTCCGCCTTACAGGTAGCGCCGGCCCTGCATCCGAGCAGGCTTGCATCCGATTCCAGGATGAAAATCAGGTTGGGATCCGAAGATGGCTCTCCCATTCCAAGCGTCCATATGGTGTAGCCACCAATGGAGTTCTAGCTGGACTTCGTCTGTGAGTGTGATCTGTTGATCGTAGGATGTCGACTGATGTAAATATTGCGTCTTCAGGCGTTGCAATGCTCGGTAGTGCAATGGGGCAGGTGTTGCAGCCCGACCGCGCGGTATAATTGCCGGGGCCGCAGGTAAACAGGCCCATCCTGTTAGGGCCACCCGATGGAAATGAATATCATCATCAGAGTGGGCCCGGTAACAGCGTGACCGGGCCCACTCTGATGATGTCAGATACTGGGAGGAAGTGACTGCCGCAGTCACTCCTCCCAGCAACCACCAGGAGCCGCTTGGGAGGAAGCAGAGGGAGTCAGAGTCTTTTATGAACTTGTCTCTGAATAACATGCCTCGAGCCTCTGGACCAAGTTCTTTAATGCCCAATTCGGCAAGCTTGGCATCGATTTTATAAAGGACGGCCTTTCGCCGTTCTGTCGAGATCGCCACGTTGGCATTGCATAAAAAGGCATAAAGCCCTTTGTGCCCACTCTCGCACCATATGTCCGTCAAAAGTGCCACCTAATAGAGCCTCGTCTGCTATAATGAAAATTTGTATAAGCGGGCCCGCCACATCCATCAGTTTATCTTGGGTGTCTTTCAGACCCTGTTCTAGACCCTTACGGGGGTCTTTCCCTGACTTTGTCAGAAAGGTATCAAGGAAGGGGTCGAATTCAGGTGTAATGGCCACCTTGTCCGGGATAATGGGACATGGGCATTCTGCCCTCAATTTGGCTCTCACCTCTTTTTCTAAAGGCCGATGGAGCCACATTCTACAGTATTTGGCAACGTGGTCCGGGGGTGTCCATTCAGCAGATATAGGGTGCCTGATGCATCTAGGGTCAAATAAAGGGTGGCCAGAGGTGTCAAATAAGGTGTCATCTTTTAAGTTAGGATCAGATTTTAGATCAGATTCCAAATGGAATTCTTCTTGATTTGGTATGAGGGAGGGCTCATTAGTGAAATCAGAAGGGTAAAGGTCTTGGAATGTTTTATGAGGTGGAGCATCGTTATCCATATGTTCTGCACAGTATTCATCTACCACCTGAAGATTAGAATTAGAGGTTGAACCCTCAAGTGGGTCAAAATCATGTTGGGAGACAACCTTCCTGGGTTTAGAAAGGTAAACTCTAGGGTGTTTGGCAGGCGCTTTGCCTTTACCGGCGGTAGCGCTATCGCCCTTCCAGGGGCGCTTGCGAGGAACTTCATCCCGGTCTGAACCATGAGACTCCTCGGAGTCTGACAGCTGGGTAATAGTCGCCGTAGGGCTGGAACTGACTGCTTGCGGAAAGCCGCTAAAGCTTTGGTTATAGAGTCAGCAATTGCATTGTATAATTATGCCTTAAGTTCAGCAGAGACTGCTGGATCTGGTAAATCCGACATAATGTCAAAAACAGTAAGGTCACCACTAAAATGTATGTTTTTAAAAAAAAAATTTTAAGTTTCTTTTCTTTCTTTCTTTTTTTTTTTGAATGTGCAGACAACTATTTACAAAGAGGCGGTGGACTTTAAACAGGAGTTGTAAAATACATAAAGAATTAACCTGTTAGACAAGTGCGGTTCATCCACAGTATATCAGTGGGGTTGACCCAGAGGAAAAAAAAAAAAAAGGGGGACTATAACGTCCAACATTAATAAAAGGTATGTACATGTGTAATCATATAGGGGGTTACCCTGCATAGAGGCAAAAAAGGGTCACCCTTAAATAGAGGCTAGAGGGGGTCACCCTCAGATTACAGGCTAGAGGGGGTCACCCTCAAAGTAATGCAAGGGTTTAAGGCACTTGTTTTTGTATTTTGGGAATCTGTAACAGAAAAATTGATATATTCCCAGTTGTGGGTTTGTACATCTTTAAATAAATAAATAAATAACGGTCTGGGGCTTTAAGAAGAAAAACATTTACTTACCTAACGGCTGGATTGCAAGCACAGATCAGGAGCTGAATGCAAACGAAACCGCCGCACAGAGACCGTCCACAAGATGGCGCCTGAGCATAAAGCCCGGGAAAAAGCAAGAGAGATGGCCGCGGCACAGAGGAAAGGGCGGACGCGTCACCATGGAGACGCTGAGGGGAAAGGCAAGTGAGCACAGCAAACAGAGCGGCTGAACGGACTGGCAAAATGCCGGGAGCTGCGGCTAAACTGTCAGTGATCTAATTAAACAGTAAATCAGATAAATATTAATAAATTAAATGATTATTGACAGCTAAAAGAGCAGGATATTAAAAAGATAATAGTCAGTTAAGAGCTATTAATAGGGATATACTTAGAATAGACTCACCTGGGAGGCTAAGCAGCAAAGAAAGAGGGATTGGGAGGAGCCTGATGACAGATTATATTACTGTGATGCATGCTGATTGGTTAAACTTTTTTACACTGATGGTTAACTGTTTCTTTGCTGTTGGTGGCGCTTCCATGGCACTGACTGAGAATAACGTAGTAATGTGACGTGAAGCCAATAGGAAAGCACTGAATACAATGCTTTCCTATGGGAAAGCTTGGATGCAAATGCAGCACATTCACATCTGGTCCATAATGTTTCTCTCTAAGGAGCATTTGATTGAATCATTGCAGAGGAGGCCATGCCTCCTCAATGTCGCAGGAAGCAGACAGGTGAGCGGTGCAGAGAAAGCCTCAACGATGGAAAAAGGCAAGTAATACTTTGCTTTATAGAACTATAGACAGGGCCATTATATAGTGTTAGGAATACAGATTTGCATTCCTGACACTATAGTGTTCCTTTATGTATACATTGAGGTTTGGAATAGTGAGTTTATAGGATCAACCCGAGATTAATATTTACACTAGTCATATCCAAGAAGAAAATATATAAATATAATGGTAGTTATATGATCATTTGTGACATCACAGCACATGAATGACAGATTGATGACATCGCAATAGCAGTGTTATCTCCAGTTCTGTCACCCATATTAGTTTTCTGCATTCAGCATAGTATCTTCTCGTTTGTCCTTGCGTATGCGGTCTCCTTATCACATGGTTGTCTCCTGAACTTTGTCA